AATATCAAAAAGTCAGGGTGCGGCCTTTGCGGCGAAAGAGTAAAAAAAAACAAAACATAAGTCAAAACCAGCACAATTTGCACATATATCTATGGGACTATGCTACGAACGGTAAAATAACTATAAAACTATACCACTGTGGTACAGGACATTTCCACACATCTTACCGACAATTTTATCTTGCATTGTTGCATTAAGACGAAAATAAACTTCCTAAAACAACATTTTGCTGATAGATCTTGATCTAAGTTCAAGCCAATGCATTGCAAAAGTAAAGTAAAGGAAGGGAACGTTTAACGTAGCTGCTGCGAAGCATCCATCCAAAGTCGCCATTTTGTTTTCCATTTCATGCAATTTTGCATTACAGTACCGTACATTGTAGTAGATCTAGGGTATAGACTATATCGGACACCAAATCTGCCTGCGATCACTTTTTTTAGCTTAACTTCCGGTAAATTATAAGAATAATGATGAATTTGGTATCAGTTTGTAATAAAACTTTTACGAGAAAATTATGATTATTTTGTTTCGTCTATTTTTTTGTTTTTTTTCCCTCTTTGAAATGTCAAAGTTTGGGGTGTGGCCAATGCGGCACTGCGGCCTTATCGCCAGCAAATACAGTATGGAGAATGTCAACAAATGACAGTTTTATTAAAGAAATGACCCATTTCAGCATTTATTTCTGTCTAAGCACAGCGATACCTTCAAAGAAAACCATAGGGTCTATATTTGAGACCCTAAGTAACATTTCATACAAAAAGTAGGCTAGGCCACTCCAGCAAAACATAGAGTCAATGCCAATGCGTATTGACCTCTAGCACTGCATGCTTGCTGTGAGGCGGGTATTTTTAGACCCATACACAAATACACACACCACACAATATTGCATAGACTGTACACAATCATGTCGATGCAGCTGTAAGCAAAGTTTGACACTAGACTTACAATTTGAATTTTTAAATTATTCTTTTTAACATCAGTAGTCTAAGTTTAAAAAAAAATGTATTTTACTGCTATTTAGGTGTCATCAATTGTCACTAAAGTACCGATTTTGAGTGAAATCAGTTGAGTTTTGTACAGTGGTGTTTGATATGTACCCCTCGTACATATATTTAATCTATGAATGACCACTGGTGTTGTACCCATGTAAATGAAAATTGCAAAGGTTGTGCCCATTTCTAAAAAGGGTGATGCCCTTATTATGAATAATTATCGTCCTATTTCTTTGTTGAATTCCTTTTCTAAAATTCTTGAGAAGCTAATGTATACTCGGACGATAACATTTATGATGAATGCTAACATTTTGTCTAATTTTCAGTTTGGTTTTCGTGAAAAACACACTACCACTCATGCTATTCTACATTTGGTTGATAAGATATCCAGTGCCTTAGATGCACGCATGCATACAGTTGGTGTCTTCTTAGACTACTCTAAAGCGTTTGATACTGTAAATCATTATATTTTAATAGATAAACTGTGCCATTATGGTGTAAGGGGAATAGCATTAGATTGGTTTAGAAGCTACTTAACAAATAGGAAACAGTTTGTTACTTTAAATGGAATTGATTCAGATTTGCGGGACGTCACTTGTGGGGTCCCACAGGGATCCCTTCTAGGCCCGCTTTTGTTTATTGTGTATATTAACGATTTTCAACTTTCCGCAAAAATGTTATCATTCATTTTATTTGCAGACGACTCGAGTGTATTTTTCTCTCACAGAAATCCACAAACTCTTTTGCAGACTGTAAACTCTGAGTTGACAAATGCGACTTTGTGGATTCATGCAAACAAGTTGTCTTTAAATCTTAAAAAAACTAATTATATGCTCTTTAGTAATTCCCTGAGTATATTGCCTGGAAATATAATGTTCAATGGTGTTGAGATTGAAAGAGTATCTACATTTAAATTTCTTGGCCTGCATATTGATGAACATTTAAATTGGAAGTATCATATTAGTAAACTTTGTAAATTATTGTCAAGAAATACTGGTGTAATTTATAAATTGAAATCTGTGTTCCCACTGAATATTTTACGCATGTTGTACGGAACTTTAATTTTGCCATATTTGCACTATGGTGTGCTAGCTTGGGGCAACTCGTTCAAATCTCAAATGGATAAATTACTACTGGTACAGAAAAGAGTAATACGAATTGTTTGTAATACACACTATCTTGCGCATACAGATGTTCTTTTTTATAATAGTAGTGTTTTGAAAGTTGAAGATATTTATCATTTACAACTAGGAGCTCTAATGTATGAATTGAATGCAGGTCTAATGCCAGTAGCCTTGGCTAGAATATTTAAGAAAAATAACCAAGTTCATAGTTATTCCACACGTCAGGCGCAAGCATATCACTTGCCTCTTGTTAGAACGCAATTTGCCCTTACTACTGTGGGGTCCACTGGACCTAGGTTTTGGAATTCCCTTGAACCAAGAATAGCGCAATCAGTCAGTATTTATGTATTTAAGCGCAAACTGAAGTTACTATATTTGAGTCGATATCGTCTAGATTTATAGTTGTGATCAATATTTAAGAAAATTAATTACTATATAGGTCAGCATAATTCTACTCCCATCTCTCACATCTATTCATCTGTCTGTCTTTTTTTGTTTTTGTCTGTGTTTCAGTCCTGTTGCTCGTTGTATTTTCCTGTTTCTTTTGTTTATAGCCATTATTTAGTAGTCAGTAGATTTTATTTTATTATACTTATTTATGTTTATATTTTATCAGTTGTTTAGTTAGTTTAGTTTGTCAGCACTTAAATGTATGCATTATTCTTATCTGACGAGTTTTGTTCTTTTAGGACATTTTCATAAGCTACTCATGAGGGACCTTAAATCCACAAGCCTTGCTTTCAACCAAGGTCACCTCATCTTTCTTTTGTAACGCCATATTCTGTAAACTTGTTATATTCATGTCATATTTGTAAAGTGTGTTATGAAAGAAAGATAAATAAAACTTGAAACTTGAAACTTGAGAATCAAAAGCACAGCTTTTACTACACAGCCAGGATAGTGATGCTCCCAGGCGCGTACGCAGGATTTTTTCAAGGGGGGGGGTTTTAACATTTATAAATCGGTCCGAAAATTTTGCAACGACTCAGCCAGCCGCTGAATAAGCGGGGGGGGGGGGGTAAGAGGACACATTTTTTTTTTTTTTGGTCCCAAAAAAATCGCAACGACTCAGCCGACCGCTGAATAAGGGGGGGGGGGGGGGGGGGGGGGGGGGGGGGGGGGGGGGGGGGGGGGGGGGGGGGGGGGGGGTTTTTTTTTTTTTTTGGTCTCGAAATTTGGAAATTTGACATTTTGCTCCGTTGGGGGGGGGGGGGGGGGGGGGGGGGGTAAGAGGACACTTTTTTTTTTTTTTTTGGTCTCGAAATTTGGAAATTTGACATTTTGCTCCGTTGGGGGGGGGGGGGGGGGGGGTAAGGTCACCTTTTTTAGGTCGGCCATGGGAATAATTTTTTTTTTTTTTTTTTTTTTTAATAATTAAAAAAAAAAAAAAAAAAAAAAAAAAATCCAAAGGGGGGGATTTTAGGTTTTTTTTAGGGGGGTTTACACACAAAAAATTTCCAAAGGGGAGGGTTTAACCCCCCAAAACCCCCCCCCCCCCCCTGCGTACGCGCCTGGATGCTCCTATGTGTGGGCTAGACCTACACAATTTTTTCATCAACCTTCAACAATGTTACCGACTAGATCTAGATTAGTCATGCTAGTAAAAGTAAAAGCCTCCCAAGTTCAGTTATTTGGGCCATTATTTTCTTTATTAGGCCTAGGTGGATATTCGGAGCTGAGAAGCGTAGAGTAAAGGAAGGGTAATCGACCAGCTCCATTCTTCGGCTGATCCGTTGGATGCATGGTAAAATCCCCTTAAAATACATCGCATAATAGCATATCACATATCCCACACATACCAAACCATGCCAGAGTCACTGAAGAACCACATTTGCAATCGAAAATATATCCTAAAATATCATATTTTAGCGATGTAATCGGCGGTCCCGCTACCGAAATCTGAAAAATCGAGTAGATCTATCTTACGCGTGTCTGTAAGAAATATGGGTACCATAAAATGAGCTTTATTTCAAGTATTTTTCAGATTTAGAGCCCGATTTTGTGTTAGTCGCAAGCTCAAAAGTATCTCATCGCATGTATTAAATCAATGCAGCCGCACACCGCAACGCACGATATGTCCGTCTAATTCAGATTCCAATTTCCGATCACGGCAGTGCTAGTTTTCGACCAGGCGAGCACCGGATACCTGCTCCGAGCGCTTCCTATTGACTTTGTACTAGGTCAAAAGCTAGGTCAAAACAGTGAAAATTGAAATGAATTTTGTCATGGCAATTCGGGATTTTTTTCTGGGATTCTTTATTGTTTAAATAATAATAATATTTGCTTCATGATTTGAACAAGAAATGATAATAAATAGGAAGTAAAGAGTCCAAAAAAAATAGGATTTTGTCTTAAGTGGCCGAAACCCGGCTCCTTTACTCTACGCGAATCCAATGCAGTAATGAGGGGCACATAAGCTGAAGCTTCAAGCGCCAGTAAAAGTAGACCTCTCTAAGTAACAAAATGAATTTGGTACAAATCATTTTGTAAAAAATCAATTCGTTACAAATTTTGTTTACAAAATGAGGTGATTTTATACCGAAAACTAGGGTAACACTTGGCGCCCCTTGGATAGCTAGATTCTGAGAACGAACACGATCTGACACCAACGCAATTTCATACAAATTTAGCAAAATTGCAATATCTCCCTAGACTAGAAGTCTAGATCTACGTCTATGCTGGTACTCGTCAAAAGCCTTTCAGCAACTATGCTTACCTGTCCGATGTGGGTGACGAAACCGAACTTCTGAAACTGCTTCTCATGATTCTCATGACACCAACGCAATTTCATACAATTTTAGCAAAATTGCAATATCTCCCTACGTCTATATGCTGGTAGGGTCTAGATCTACTCGTCAAAAGCCTTTTCAGCAACTATGCTTACCTGTCCGATGTGGGTGACGAAACCGAACTTCTGAAACTGCTTCTCATGATTCGTGTAAAATATGCAAAAGTTAAAACCTAGTAGACTATGAGAACTGTAGAGGGTCTATGAAGATTTGTTTTAGGGTCTAGAGTCTACACACCAGTCCAGGTGATAGAAAAAACGCAAGCTGTTTTTTTTATGGAAGCCAGACGTGGTGGATGACCGGTACATGGAGCGCTGGACGGTTTTGAGTGCCCGCGCTCCATTCCGCAGCTTTTCCACATATTATGCAGTTCAAATTCTGTCCGATTTTATATATTTTTTATGCTTCACATGTCACAGCGCAGTGTCTCCACCAGGTCTCGATCCATTCATACTCATAGCGAAAACTGAATGATAGGATCGAGTGTCGGCCTATATACGGTTGGACTCTGTGCTTCCTTCCCGCGCCCGCGTATCCAGGTATCACGTGAACATATCGCCACAAAGACAACTCGCCCCTAAACAACTCGCCACAATACCCTGGACATTTCGCCACAATACCCTGGACAACTCGCCACGGTCGAGTGTCCAGGGTGGGGTGCCTTTTCGGACAGCTCGCTGCTCGCCACACTTTTTTCCCCTCATGATTTCTAGATCTAAAATCCCTTATCTTAGATGAAATTGTCATTTTTCATGATTTTTGTGTTTTAATAAACACAGTCATTACCAAGAATGAAGAATAAAGCTGATTTCCCTTGCAACAATAATATAGTTTTGACAAACCGAAGGCGTACGATTGCCAGATGTTGGGATAACTTCTCGGTATTTAGAGATCTATAATAACAGCGGCATTTTTCTGTCTCAGAATTTTTTTTATTGGTGGGAATTTATATATTTTCATGGAAGGATACTGGAAGCACTGGCGTACTGATGGGGGGGGGGCAGTTGACCCACGAAATAAAATTGAAATGTGGTTTATTTCTAGATTTTCTGGGTTAGTTTCACACTTTAATCGCCCACAGTCAGAGGCGGCATTCTTGGTTGGGAGGGGGGGGGGCACTGTGCCCCCACTTTTTCAGGTTCCCCAAAGTGCCCCCTTATCCTTTGTAAATGTCCTTTTCCCTTCTGATAAGTGCCTACTTTTCTTTCTCCATGATGCACCTCTATAATTCAAGGCATCTAAGAGCCCTTATAATAGTGCTTGCTTGCACGTTTATAGATGTTTAAATTATAATGTTACTCATAATTACATAAAAGAACTTTTCAGTCTTTCTTCATTAGATTGTGCTTAATATTCGTCGTGTAATTTTTCAAATGGGACCTTATACTATTTGCTCGCTTGCTCGAAAATCAATATTTTCACTCCCCCCCCCCCTGAATCAGCAGCAAAGCACTAAAATTGATTAATATTTAGTAACCAAAAAGAACATTAAAAACTAATAAAACCTGAATTGAATCAAATTAAAATGTTATTCAATTCAAAGAAAAGGAAAGTGAACTGGAATTAAAATTTCCTAAACATTCCGCATGTCCCTTTATTCATCAATGGGGCATTTTATAATAGCGATACTCCTGGTAATTTATTGTGAGAGGATGGGAAAGCGTGTGTGTATTTTTTATTATAGGGGTGAGAAGACATGAGCCCCTGAACACTGATGGGGGGGGGGGGGGGGCAGTTGCTCCCCGACTAAAATTGCAAAGTGGTTTATTTCTAATTCGATACCAGTGATTTACAATTGTTGCTGAAATGACATGATTTTCATGGATTTTTTCTCATTTTTTAATATAAATAATACCTTTTTATGCGTTTGTTGGAAAAATTACAATCAGGCAACCAACAAAATGCTCATTTTGAAGCCTTCATGTCAGGGCCTGCAGGACGGTGGGGTTCAGGGGCTCGAGCCCTCCACACTTTTTTGAAAAAGTATGTTAAAGAGAAAGAGGAAGAAAGAACGAGTGGCCTGCTTGTTTCAGAAATGAGGTATCAAAATATGCTGATCTTGGCGTAATTAAATGCCTAAATCCCCCGAGCTTACAGGGGCTCCGTCCTCTGGACCCCACTAACGGCCCTAACGCGGGCCCATGGATGCTCATCGGACCGTAAGTACATACCTAAAACCCCTGAGCTTCTGGGGGCTCCACCCCCCTTGACCCCTGCCGGGGCGCGTCATTTTTTTTCTGCGGCACAGATTGGGGCTTTTTTTTAAAAAGAGGTCTTGATTTAACCCTAACCCTAACCCTAAACTTTCCTATAGGCTCAACACGCACCTAACCCCAATCTGTGCCGCAGAAAAAAATAACGCTGCCGGGGCAAAGCCCCTGGACCCCACTCCACGTCAATTTGCGCTCGACTCACTTTGCTCGCTATACGCTCTACCAGATTGTTGATACTCCACTTCGAAAAACGTTGCGCCAGGGGCCTGCATGTTACGTGTAAGAGTGGTGGCGATGCCAGATTTTTCTTCTGCCCCCAAAACGTTTTTGCGCATTACGCCACTGCCCCTGGAAGGTGAGCCCCCTGGAATATCTCCCCCGGCCCACCCCCTCCCAACCGAATCCCAAAGTGCTTCCGGCGCGCCAAACTGGTTGCGATGTCAGGAATGCTAGTTTAACCTCTTTGGTATATTCCACTTAAATATAGTACTACTCTACTATACTACTACTTCTACTATAATACTACTACTACACTACTACTACTACTAATAATAATAATACTAATAATGTTGATGATGATGACAATTTAACGACGACGGTGATGATGATGACGACAACGACGACAACAATAATAAAAAGTAATAATAATAACTGCAAGAAGCCAGACATTGTCTTCAGGGACAACAAAACAGTAAATATCATCGAGGTCAGAGGAGCTCCTGAGGGCCTGTTCCCACATCCATGGAAATGTTTCAGGACAATAAATTCTACAAAGAAAGAAACATGGTGTAAATTATTCTTGCCATAAGTATTGTAGTTATTTTGAAGTTATTAAGAATAGATGCACAATGTTTTCATGTTATATTTTGGGAAGCCAACATCATTCAAATTTGGGTGATACATTGCCCGCTGAAGGGGATAATGGAAATTATTCCTCTGGTAATTTTTTTGAATTCTGCTTTCCTTAATACTAGTGCAGTATTGATAGTGGTAATTATTCCATATCATTTAAATTAAGCGCACAAGTTATTCTTTAGTTTCTCTTGTATATAATTATTATGTTAATGAAGGAGAAAACTAATTGTTCAATTCATTTGTATGGACACTGATAAAAAGAGAGCCCGGAAAGAGATAATTGCTGTATTCATTTATTTCTGTAAATTACTTTAAAAATAGAGGTAAATGGGTATACCTGGTAGGATTATTCCTTGAAATGCACTGTGCGCCGATTACAGCTGCCTGAGCTAAAGCTAGGGTAATAATTTCTAAAGCTCTTTGGAAGTGCATAGAGACGTTGTATAATGTGATATGCCCTATATATTAACCGAATATTATTATTATTACTCTACAATTCACCATGACACATTGTAATTGCCATCATGCTGTTCAGTGATTTAAATGAATTTGTTTTTTTGAAACATCTCTTGGTACTGCACTACTGTAATAATATTGTATAATAATATTTTTTTTGAAACAATATACTCTTTGTGTCACTGTGGTCATTTGAATAAATGTGTGAAATGTCTATAAAAGAGAGTAAGGTAAAAGGTGGTATGAGCCCAGAGGAAAGAGGCAGTTTATTGTTTCCATATAAAAGTTGCACATACCTTTCTTTTTTCAGTACATCTGCATTATGGCTTTACACTTACAAACTCAAACTACAAGAATTTCAACTTTGCATAACTATAGTTTTACAAAACAATAACAAAAGACAATAGCAAATTGAACTCTCAAACTTAGTGCTCCAGCACTCTCAAAATTAACCTTCAAATTATTAAGCAGTATCAATTTTTATGTTATTAATGAAATGTACATGATAACGACATGGGCTTCTTTTTCTTACATAATGGTAACTTAGTTACATCTCTCTGTATGAAGTCCAAAACACCCCCACTAATTCCACTTTATGTTTTGACAATCCACAAAAATACACCAAATATACAGCAAAACTAACCTCTTTGCCTGCCTTTATATATGACAATAATATGGCTCAAATCCCCATGATGCGCTGGCAAAAAGGGGATTATTGATCTTCATTCACAACACAACCCAATTCATGTTGACTTCCGAGTATATATCAAGTGCACAGCAATATATGGTGCTATGTTAGGGACATTGCCTAAGGAAGTGCAATTACAAAAAATACATGACTATGTATGTCATGCATCAATGGTACAATTAAATTAAAAGTTAAATGACTCGAGTGATAAAGCAATTTCAAGTGTTCAAATAATTTCTTAAAGTGCGGGTAGTCATAGAAAATCACAAATATGGCAAATATAGCGTATTACTAGAAACTGGTATGCTAACAGATGGCCATCATGCAAGTTTTAGATCAACTACATATCGGGTGATTTATAAAAATCCAAATAAAACAACCTCCATAGCATCTGGGATATGCGAGAGATTCGCCGGAAAATAACGATGTTTTAATACCGTCACAATATGAACCAACCCTACCCAAGCAGACGACATCCCATATAGAATGAACATAATTGCAATGCTTTTATTTCTCAAATTATAATGAGTTTAGTGTTTATAAATGTGATGGAATTTTACACCATTCAGAAAGGGATATGAGTTAAAAAATGGAATTAAAAAACCTCCGGAATGATAGCATGGACGTCATTTTGTTCCCTCTTGAAATGGGCTCCAAGATTCTCTCATTATTATTCATGAGCTTATACGTGCGCGCGAGCGCCTGCCCATACAGCTAAGTTTCTCTATGCCATACTCAACAGCAAAGTTACGAGTAAGAACTGTACATCTCTCTGGCAGAACGCCTAACTCTGTGCATATAACGCACACGGTTACGAACGTTAGCAGAACGCCTAACTCTATGACGGGCAATACACCTAAAGTACCCGAAGTTTGAGAAAGAGGAAAGGACCAAGGGTTCAAATTGTCTTTTAGCTGCGAAGAACAGTTATGTAGGTTTATGAAACGATTTTTCTTCCTTACCCATCTGACCTTTGAGCCCGTGTTTAGAAATAAATGAACGCTATGATATAATATTATATTAGGCTCCTACTCTCTATAATAGTTTATTATTATTAACTGTTAAAATAATCATAATGATGATGAGGAAGAGAAAATACGAAATGTTCAATTGAGGTTTCAGAAGATAATTAGAGTTTATAGATTACTCTCGATTATTCTTATTATGAATAATAACTCGTACAGCTAAATAAAGCAGACTCCGAAATTCTATGACGGGCTATCCTCCATCCTCTGCGAAGTGTTACAATAATCATAGAAATGATGAAAAGACGAAAATGAGGTGACGATTTGTTGAAACTGATGTTATAT